CACTCCCCTTCTCTACATCCCTGGGTTAAGAGCCAGAATCACCTGTACTCTGAATAGAAACCTACTGTTGATAGAGAAACATGTACTGGTACTAGCAGGACTTGTATCTGAGCACTACTACTCAGACTCAGAGAAACAGCTGGGGCCTGAGTTCTGCAGTTGAATTTCTGGATACAAAGATGTCTCAACTAATGAAGTATATTTGTAAATCTTTGGGCTCCAATTTGAGGACAAGGCCAATCATTACTCTCCAGTTTATGAAATTAATATTTATGACAGTGAAACAACCAGATAAGCAAGTGAGACTCTCATTTGTAGATGGACCAAGTTTATGTCACTTTACTGTGGCAGTTAAGTAAGACCCTCAATGTTTATAAAATTAGACATCAGAGTCTGGTTTACATTAGTGGCACACCATAATTGTCTCCCATGACATAATGCTCATAGAAACTGTTAAAGTTACAAAAATTCATCCTAATACTAAAAATAATAAAATTATCAATCATCACCAGTAAAGGAGATATGGCACAGAAGTTGAAGCCCACCAAGGTGATAGCCCATAATAACTCAGTATATAAGTACATATTATTTTATTATAAGTCATGCATAATTATATAAATGTAATAAAATTTCAGCAGCAATCAGCAATCAACCCTTCCAGATTCAGCAATTGTAATTGCAAATTAGACACTGAATTCTGTAAATGCTTTGTCTTAAACAGTATCATTGAATAAAACATGTAAATATCCATAATGTCCTTGCAGATTGACATGTAAGGGATTGTTTTATTTTTTCCTTTTATTTGCTTTTTAAAAACTCCTTAATCATAGACTCATGTAAACTATCCATGTGACAATACAATTTAGATATTCTTCAAATGGAAGCAGTAAAAACTAAAAGTTTTCATAAGAAGTTTTTTTTTGCTCTGTATAAGATATTTTTGAAACTTAATTTCAATTTTTCATATTCCAAAGCCTTAGACCATAACAGTAAAATTGGTTTATTTTATTTTTATCATAACTTTGAGCATTGTTGAAAGAATAATCTTTATTTAAAGAGCTTCTGGACAGTAATCTTAGACCCAGCACTTGTGTTTAAATTAATGAAGAAAGGGATTATAATGATAGACTAATATCCTCATTAAAGTGGTTTATTTTCTTGTGAATAACATACATATTCATGTATCTATGCAGTAATCCACTGATTTGCTTTAGCAAATGGGTGAGCACATGCTGGCTGAGCATAAGTCATCATTCATTTTGATTTCCACATGACTTTAAGGCACCTGGTTTAACAGTGAACATTCTGTTTTACTATATATTTATTTTCACTTTATTGCCTTTGTGGAATATTCAAACCATCCCATAAATGTGTAGCACATTTTATTGCTACTTTAGTATGCACAGTCTTATGTTAGATGAGATTTAGTGTTATTTCATGTGCTCATTTTGATGTTTTTATTTGTTGCTTAGATATACATGGCATAGAGTATATTTAACATATTATATACATATACTTTAGATACAACCCATTTCAATTTTGATGCTTTTTATTGTGGTTGAACGTGATATGCAATTCCACTGGTCACTATATCTGTTGTATGTACATAGATGAACACAGAAAAGTTATGTATGATTCATTATACTGTATGATTCCTATTCTTATCCTCCTCCATTACCTTCATTCCACTTTTCTAATCTGAAGTATTTCTATAATTACCCTCCCTTCTCTCCCTTGCTATGGGTTTGGATCCACATATAAGAGAAAATACTCATACTTTGGCTTTTGGGGTTTGGCTTATTTCATTTAGCATGATAGTCTCAAGTTTCATCCATTAGCCCACAAATGCCATAATTTCACTTCTCTTTATGGCTGAGTAATATTGCATTTTGTAGTATATCACATTTTCTTTATTGATTCATCTGTTGAATGGCATCAAGATTGGTTCCATAGCTTAGCTATTATGAATTGAGCTGTTATAAACATTGACGTGGCAGAATCACTGTAGTATGCTAATTTTAAGAGCTTGGAATATAAACTGAAATTGGGATAGCTAAGTCAAATGGTGGTTCTAGTCCAAGTTTTCTGAGGAATCTCCATACTGATTTCCAGAGTGGTTGCAAAAATTTTCAGTACCAATATCATGTGCTTATTTTCTTTCTGCATTTTTCTTTCAGAAATATTCACTATTTTATATAATTTGTTTCATGTTGCTTCATGTAAAGAGTTCAAATATTCTAGGTTCATATTTGGAGGTAAAATTAGAGAAGATGATCAAAAGAAAACTCTGTATGTGATGGTGGATTGAGTACACTTATGAAGACGAGAAGAATTAAATTTTCTCATCTTCAGTAGAGAAGATTTTTTGTCTTGCTTTTTCTGAATTGAAGGGCAAGTGTTGCTTTTCCTGTGGAAAGAAAGAATCTGCAGGACATTTACAATCATTGCACTTCACATAGTTTTATGTGAAGGTGATGAAATAAATTTTCAATAAAACTACAGAAATTCACAAGGGGGCCTACAGTTACTGTTTCTAATAGATAGAGGAAAAAAGGAAGAAAGGATGGAAGAAATAATAATGAAAATTTAATGTATTATACTTTTACAAATTTGAGTTTATAAGAGACACATTTCATGTATATTTTATTTTAAAATAATCTATCAAAAATATGTTATATTTTCTAATCTATATATTATTACTTTATAAAAGTAACAAGTATTAGATTCCACAATGTATCTTATCATAGAAATAAATATAATTGATTGATTTTAATCCTTTCTGTATTTAATTACAAATTGTGCTGGAGATATAAATTACCAACCTATTAGGAGGTAAGTTACGTTCCTAAGTATGGAAGTTTCTAGGCCCTAAAATGGCAATTCTTGCCTATCTTGGGATCCAGAAGTGTCAAAATTATGAAAAAAATATTCAACAACTTTAGCAGTTAGAGAAAAAAAATTAAAACTACAATGAGATTCCATTTCATGCCAATTACAATGGCAATTATTAAGAATACAATGAACAATAAGTGTTGCCAAGGATGTGGGGAAAAATGCACACTCAAACATTGCTAGTGGGGCTGCAAATCTGTGCAACTACTCTGGAAAGCAATATGGAAATTTGTCACAAAACTTGGAAAGGAATCACCATTGTTCCAGTTACCCCACTCCTTGGTTTATACCCAAAGGTCTTAAAATTGGCATACAGTGATACACCCACATCTATATTTATACCAGTTAAATTCACAAGAGCTAATCTATGGAACCAGCTTAGGTGCCCTTCAACGGTTAAATGTTGAAGGACACACACACACACACACACACACACACACACA